GTGCACGCGGTGATTTCGCTACGTCGGATGAATAAACAAAATAAACTCTCAAAACGTTAATGAAGGAAATATTGAGGAAGATCAGTCTGAAAATGTGCGGTTCGGTTCTGGCTTCTCTTGTCCATGTCGATGTGTCCTTGAGGCAAATATCTCCAGAGGCCATTGGTGAATTAGTTTAGTCCTGATGAGCAGGTGGCACCTTGAACGGTAGCCCCCCCCGTTATCAGTGTGTGAATGGAAGTGAATGGGTGCACAAACACAGGCGATAAGAACAAGGACGTTTTTGAACGCCATTGATCCCCACAGAACGAACAGACTTTGCAGCTGCGCCCCAGAGACACCGAGAACATCTGTAACAGCTGGAGGCGTTCTTCACACTATACAGTATACCGAACTCGGATCAGTAGAGATATTGTAGAAATGAAATGTGAATTATTTCAGGTTTCCTGCTACTGAAACACCGTATTTGTTTTATTCCAGGACATTTTTCAAACTGCATGGAACCTGATGTCCCACAGCAACTTCCAGAAAGGTTCTTTGGATGATTCTCCACAGGACTTGAAATCTGATTCAATGCAGACTGATCATAATGGAACTGCAGACAAAGGTAATATATATCTGTCTGCAATAATGTCCCATATTTCTGTGCAGCTTTAAACAGTCTGTTGACCTCTTTTGTAGGCCTTTTAGAGGAGGCGAAGAGAATCGTCTCAGCCATCGATGAAAGAATCGAGAAGGGGGCGACCAATTCAGACCAACCCGATGACATGGCCGGCATGGTCGACGTGGACCTGTACACGGCAGAGGAACCCACCAGCCTGACGGACCAGGACTCTTCTGTGATGGTCGTGGATGACTCCCAGCTCTCGGCTGAAGGGAACACCACAAGTGGGTCACTCCCGCTGAATGATGGCGTGCTCGGCCTTTCTAGCGCCCTCGAAGAAGAGGCCCAAATGTCTCTAGCCATCCAGTACTCCATGGAGTCCAGTCATTGGTCCAAGGAGGAGGAGGAGGAGGATCAGCTGCAGCAAGCCTTGGAGCTATCCAAGACAATGATCCAACACAAGGCCTCTTCTAGTAATGACAAGAGCCCCAAGGTGGTGAAGGGCGCAGATGTTTCCTTACAGGACGCCATCAAGGCAGCCAACACCATACAGATGCTCGTGTATGCCGGCTATAACTGCGACCTGATTCGGGTGGACATAGCCTTCGGGAAGAAGGTCAGCCAGAGGCAGGTCGAGGAGAAACTGGAGCACAGGTGTGTGAAGAACATGTCCGAGTACCACAGGAAGTGCCTGGAGATGATCAAGAGGAAGCACGCAGTCGAGATCCAAATTCAGGGCACCATCATCGCCGTTTCTGGCTTCAAGGACTACGTGACCGGAGGAGTGTGTGACTTGAAGCTGCTGCTGGAGAAAATGTCCAGTGCCATATCCGACCGGGAGATCCTGAGGACGGTCCAGTGGGTGTATCACGACCCGGCCTCTTCAGACACGACGCCCTATTCGCCCGAGGCCACCGTGTTCATCGAGAACGCTTTGAGGATGAGGCTGAAAACGGTCGATATCTTGCTGGACAATCAGCCCCACATCATCAACTTTGAGAAGATGCAGGAGTACAACATAGCTTCAGGGAAAGCTGTGAAAGTTTCCAGGAAGCTGCCTGAATTAGGGGATTTGGATGCTGATGTACCAGGTAAAGTGTTTACAGTGTTCTAGTGCTTTATGTTTCCTGCAGGAGGATTCTTCTGTGTATTTATTTAAAAAGATTATGAGACAAGAATATATATCTGAATGCACCATTATGTTAAAGAAAGCTAACGCAGACAGCATGCTTCTACCTTCATTGACATTTTGTGTCATTTTGTGATTTCTCTCTAAACTTGCCAGCTGAATTTGTTGCTCTTATCTAGCTCGCTGCTCCATTTTATTTATTTGAATAACGGTATAATTTCTTAATGTATTCAGTTATATTTTGGATTCGTCAGATCATCTTTTACTGCTTTTTTCCAGGTTTTTTTTTGCTAAATGTCTCTGTTGATAATTGATATGATTGATAAGATTAACAACATCTAATCCAACAACTCAAAGTCTAAACCCTTTTTTATCAGAAGAGGAATATTCTCTCCTGTCACATCTGCCCGAAGCGACCAAAGTCGATGAGGAATCCGACGAATTTCAAAACGTGGTGAAGAATTTCTATGAGACCATCCAGGAATACCACAGCAAAATCAGAATCATAAAGGTGACCTTCAGCATATCTTCCAACAAATTGTTTTTGTGTCTGTAATAACACTAACA